CCCCCCCCGGCCACCCTGGATCCTCTCTCCAGACACTTGTCCCCGCATAATGGCTTATGACACGTTCTCTAAGTGCCTCTTAGGAAAGTGCCATGGTCTGTTTCCTTTTGTGGTATGGCAGAGAGCTGAGCGAGCAGCGTCCAGGGCAGGGCTGCGTAGAGGCTCCTTCTTCGAGCAAGCAGCAGGGCCATGGCTTATGAAATTACAGGGAATTCAAAGCAGCCGGCATCACCCGCTGTCTGGCTTCATTACTGGAAATGGCCTCCTCCGAGGGAGGTTTGTTCTGGTAACTTAGCAGATCAAGACCCGACACCCTTCATTAGCACTTTGACATTGACAGAGAAGACGGATCTCAGACCCACGCAATGGGAAGGAATTGGCTCAGAGGAGGAAAAGCCAGCATCTCACCAAGCTAGGGAGGGGGAGAAGCTGTCGGAGGTGGAATTGCAGGCGATTTTTATAGTCCACTTGAATGGGGGGCTGTGCTTGTCCAAGTATATCAAGAGAGCAGCCGGGGGCCTTGGGTCCCCCTTTAGGCCACTTCCCTGTTCTCCTCCACGGCAGCTCAGTCTATCCTCCCTCCTCAATCCTTGCCGGTTTATCCTTGAGAAACACCTCTATTTTTCAGGCTTTAGTGTCCCCGTCACTGTAAGCATCTAATAATCAACCTACTGGGACAGAAATTGCTTAGAACCTACTTGCCACTTACGGGCTGTCTTCCTAGGCCTTCCACAAAACACAGCCCCTGACTTCTGGAAACTTCTTAACCAGTTCTTTAAAAAAAAGAAAAAAAAAAAAAAACAGACTGGGCTGTACCTTGACAGCAGTTCCAGCAGACAGATGGGGGAGGGGTGGCTTCAAAAATCCCTACACCCCCCCCCCACAAGTTCTGCCTCCTTTATTAATGGGTGACCCAGGGTGAGTTGCTTAGGCTCGCTGTGCACCCTTCGAGTGAGTCCAAGCTGGGCGCACGGTTTGCCATGAGGATTAAACGAAATGATGTCATAGAGAACCCGGCACATAGAAGGAGCAATTGATAAGGTTGGTGCTTCCGAGGACCCTGGTTCTTCCACCGGAAGCCTTTCGCTCTGTGTGGTGGAAGGAAGTAGAACCACTTGTCCATAGTGCCTGGCACCCCGGGGCCCACCGAGCAGGGTGCCACCCCCCCCCCGCTATGGCTACGGGTGAGGGCAGCTCAGTGGTGGTGGAGCGGAGGCGTGGGATACTGGAGCTGCACACCAGTTTCTTGGACTCCACAAGTGTGTAGAGAGAGGAGCGAGGAATGTGATCCGACCCAGCAGCCCGGGGGAGCCAGACCATATCTGGTATCTGGTATGTCTCTCTGGAATGATTTTTGGGGGAATTCACCGAGGTTGGAACTCAAGACATGGACTGCCCGGAACACAGAAATGTGGCACTGCCCGTGTGCCTGCCCCCCACAAGGGGACCTGCTTCCCCAGGGTGGGAGTCGGCTTACACAGCACAGCGCTGGCTGCTCAGGGGCCCGCCCTTGAATGGCCGTGAACTTGTTTTTCCACGTCATTTGCTCTCAGATGTACCAGCGAGCCGGGGCGACGCGAACACAGCCGCTCAGGTCCCTTCCTCTGTAACAAGCGATTGTGTGTTCTGGAGAGGTGGCTGAAGGGGAGGAGGGGGCCTGGCCTCAAGGAGGTGGGGAAAAGGGAAACCTGCTTCCCAGTGAGCGTGCGTGTCCTGGGGCCAGCTCCCCCCCTTACCTCCCCAAAGCACATGCCGTTTCTGTCCCTGGAAGGGGTTAAAGGCCTCCTGGAGTCAAAAACAAGCAGGTGTCCCACCGTGCCAGAGACCGCTGCCTAAACTGCTTCCAGCTCCCCCCACCCCCCCTCTGCAACACGTCTGTGATCAGCCACAGGACAGAGGCGCCGGCAGCCTGCCTCTGACAGGCAGCGGGTTAGCTCGCTCCCACTCGGGTGGTGCGCCCAGGATATAAATCCAGGCTCGAGCCTCTGCTGTGTTCCTCTCCCTGCGCACCGGGGGTGGGGTGGGGTGGGGTGGGGTGGGGGGGACGGAGTTTCCTTCCAAAGACCTTTCTTTTATCTGGAGCCTCGCAGCCCAGCAGGCTGCTCTTGGTGGAGTCAGTCACAGCGGGGCCGAAGCCAGCAAGCGGCCTCGGCGAGGAGGAGGCTTGCTGGGCTGCGGAGGGCAGGTGTTGCCAGCCCTGGAGGAGAGGGCCCCGGTTGGGCCTCAGCCCTTGGTGTCATCACAGGGGAGCCCCCCTCGCCGCTGCAGACGGCACCATGTGGGCTCCAGGGTATCATCGGTCCTGGTTCCACTGGGGGCTGCTCTTGCTGCTGCTCCCGGGGATGCCCCTGGGAGGCCTAGCCCTGCCACCCATCCGCTATTCCCATGCGGGCATCTGCCCCAACGACATGAACCCCAACCTCTGGGTGGACGCCCAGAGCACCTGCAAGCGAGAGTGCGAAGCTGACCAGGTGAGTGTGACTCCTGAAACCCAAGGCAGGGTCTGTGATGGTGCGAGAGCTCTGCCGTGCCCCCAGGGCCACGAGGGACACAGGTCCTGCCAGCCTAGAGGCAAACAGGGCCCGACGCCTGCCTATTGCTGCTAAGGCCCAGAAGGAGAGGGTATCGTGCCCAAATCCATCTCGGGCCATTGCTCTTTGTGCTGGCAAGGGCTGATGTGGGCACATTGGGATGACGCATCTGGCGTGGTGGATGTCCAGCTGCCCAATCACTGGTGAGAGAATGGACACTCGGAAGGAGTGACGCCGCAGCCAGAGAGCGGCAGGTTGGCGTGGAAGCCTGTCTGTGGGACACAGTGGCTGCCGGTAGCTTCGCCCAGCTTCTCGGCCTTTCGCCAGGTTTGGACTCAGACATACAGCAGCCACGAGGCTGCTAGACAGACAGAGTGGGGGAGCCAGTCTGTACTAGTGTCCCGGGAGAGAAATGAGCTGAGTTCCCACAGCTCTGCAGTGCTCCCATATGTTCCTCCCTTGTGGCCACTGCCGCAGGCAAGGGCCACTTCCAGACAGCTCTTCCCTGGTTGCCGGGTGGGTTCTCCCAAGGGCCATCCTGGTCTGCTTGGAGAAAAGCCCACAGGTTTACCATAGTACCTGGGTATGGCCCTTCCCTGTCTGGCCATCTCTGAGGGTGGCCCTGAGTCTCCCAGGGCTTTGGGTCTGGGTTAGGCATCACTAAAGAACGTGGGAGACCCTGGTGCTTCTGGAAGTTAGCTGGCCGGCTTGAGAAAGCATGGGGCTCCCCTCGGAGAGAAGAGCTGCTGCCTCGAGTTCCCTGGGAACCATTTCCCAGTCCTCTCAAGACAGGTGCTCCAATAGTACCCAGTGGTAGTGCTGAGCAAGAATGGCCAGGGGGAAGGGACAATTCTCCCGTCCGTAGAGCAGAGGCCATCAGATGGGTTGCCCTTGGAGATTCTTTTGCTCCAATGCTGGCTAGTTTGAAGTCGGGTGGGATTTTAGGGACAGCGGGACCCTGGCTGGCTTTGCATGTCTGGGGAAGGCTAAGGACCCAGGAAACCTATGGATACATCGTAACTCCTTAGAGAGTGTTCTAAGTATCTCCTCAGGCACTCCTTCACCTGATCCCCAAGGGCTCTGGCTCCTGGGTGTCTAGCCACTCCTGGACCTCTGGGCCACACTGGACCGGGATAGCCATCAGGCCAAAGAGCAGGTTTTCCTGGCCACGGGTCACTATGTCCCTGTCCATCCTCCATTCTCAAGATCTCTCTCCCTTGAAGCTCAGCTCTGGATGTGACCTATCCGGTCCCCAGGCTTCCCCTGTTGTGGCCCAGAAGCCTACGCCGAGCGAGAGTTTCAAAACAAAGTCCTTATTCTACGCCCAATAGAGGAGAACAGTAAACGAGCCGGCTCCACACAGCTGAGTGGGGGATTTTCCCCCCTCTTAGCTCCTGTGGAATGTCAAAAAGGCCGGCATCAAAGCAAGAAGGAAGAGAGGCCAGGGTGGCAGGGACCAAGTCACACAGTCACTACCTGGTGGAGGATTAGCCGCCCAGCCGGCCGCACACGGCGGGACATTGTGTGAGGCGCCACACGCCATCCAGGGTTTGCGTCGGCTCCGGTGGCATGTGCTAATTTCGAGGAATTAGAGTAAAGCCTTCCACGACTCAACAGAAGTCAGAGGGGGATTACAAAGCTGGCAAGGCTTTACTGATACCACACGGGGACTTTTTTTTGTCATGGGGGTCTCTGACATCCTGGGTTCAGTGTGTGTTGCTGTCTCCGGGGGTGGGGGTGGGGAGAAGGGGGTCGCTAGCCTCGAACATGGGTTCAAAGGTGCGACCTCCTCAAGTTAGCCAACACATCCTTTACCCCCATGGGAGAAAGACAAAAGGTCAGCCTCGCTCTGTGCTTCATCTGGGCGACAATAGGGTGTCCCATTTCAGCATCCCACTTAGGAGGGCCTACGCCCTTTTCTGTTGTCTCTCATCTCTGTGGCTCGAGTATCACCTCTCTGCCTACATTCGAGTTTTGAAAGTGGTAGTGACTACATATCCTCTGAGAGGTCTGTGGCCCAGCCCTGGGACCGTGGGCAAGTCACTCAACCTCTCCGTGCTTTAGATGACCGTGTAGAAGGTGGGAGTGGTGGTTGTGCCCTTCTGGGCTTGGAAGAGAGCAGTAGGCTGAGGGCTGGGTCTATGTGAGTTCTTATCTACCTTAAGTGCCCGTGTATGCACAAGCGTAGGGCCTCATGTCACAGCCTCCGGGGGAGGTGTAGGACTCTGTTCCTGCTTCCCCTGTCTTCAGAACTCTCTCTCTCTCCTCCTCTGGCTCTTGCAGGAATGTGAGACCTACGAGAAATGCTGCCCCAATGTGTGTGGGACCAAGAGCTGCGTGGCGGCCCGCTACATGGATGTGAAAGGGAAGAAGGGCCCCGTGGGCATGCCCAAGGAGGCCACGTGTGACCAGTTCATGTGTCTGCAGCAGGGCTCTGAGTGTGACATCTGGGATGGACAGCCCGTGTGCAAATGCAAAGACCGCTGCGAGAAGGAGCCCAGTTTCACCTGTGCCTCTGATGGCCTCACCTACTACAATCGCTGCTACATGGACGCCGAGGCCTGCTCCAAGGGCATCACGCTGGCAGTGGTCACCTGCCGCTATCACTTCACCTGGCCCAACACCAGCCCTCCGCCCCTCGAGACCACTGCGCATCCCACCACAGCCCCTCCGGAGACTCTGGGGCTGGACCTGGCAGCCCCGGCCCTGCTCAACCACCCTGTCCATCAGTCCGTCACCGTGGGCGAGACCGTGAGTTTCCTCTGTGACGTGGTGGGCCGGCCCCGGCCGGAGCTCACCTGGGAGAAACAGCTGGAGGACCGGGAGAACGTGGTCATGAGGCCCAACCACGTGCGTGGCAATGTGGTCGTCACCAACATCGCCCAGCTGGTCATCTACAATGCCCAGCTGCAGGATGCCGGCATCTACACCTGCACAGCTCGGAACGCTGCCGGGGTCCTGCGGGCCGACTTTCCGCTGTCGGTGGTCAGGGGGGGTCAGGCCAGGGCCACCTCGGAGAGCAGTCCCAACGGCACAGCCTTCCCAGCAACCGAGTGCCTGAAACCCCCAGACAGTGAGGACTGCGGAGAGGAGCAGACGCACTGGCACTTCGACGCCCAGGCTAACAACTGCCTCACTTTCACCTTTGGCCACTGTCATCGCAACCTCAACCACTTTGAGACCTACGAGGCCTGCATGCTGGCATGTATGAGCGGGCCGCTGGCCACGTGCAGCCTGCCCGCCCTGCAGGGGCCCTGCAAAGCCTATGTGCCACGCTGGGCCTACAATAGCCAGACGGGCCTGTGCCAGTCCTTCGTCTACGGCGGCTGTGAGGGCAATGGCAACAACTTTGAAAGCCGTGAGGCCTGCGAGGAGTCGTGCCCCTTCCCGAGGGGCAATCAGCACTGTCGGGCCTGCAAGCCACGGCAAAAGCTTGTCACCAGCTTCTGTCGGAGCGACTTCGTCATCCTGGGCAGGGTCTCCGAGCTGACTGAAGAGCCTGACTCGGGCCGTGCCCTGGTGATGGTGGATGAAGTCCTCAAGGACGAGAAGATGGGCCTCAAGTTTCTGGGCCGGGAGCCGCTGGAAGTCACTCTGCTTCACGTAGACTGGGCCTGCCCTTGCCCCAACGTGACCGTGAGCGAGGCACCCCTCATCATCATGGGAGAGGTGGAGGGTGGCATGGCCATGCTGAGACCCGACAGCTTTGTGGGGGCGTCCAGCACGCGGCGGGTCAGGAAGCTGCGTGAGGTCATGCACAAGAAAACCTGTGATGTCCTCAAGGACTTCCTGGGCTTGCAATGAAGCTGGCCCATCCCATCTACCCTGACCCTCCTCTGCCCCCACCCCTGCCCTCAGTCAGTCAGCCACTGGGCCAAGATCAGATGAGTTGGCCTTGGCTAGGGGAGAGACATCAGCTCACTTGTGGGAAGAAAGCCAGCAGAGTCTCAAAACCACCTCTATTCTTTGGGCTCAATAAAAGGTCCGTATCTGTTCCTTTCTTTCCTTTTTTTTTTTTTTTTTGAGACAGGGTTTCTCCATGTAGCCCTGGCTGTCCTGGACTCACTTTGTAGACTAGGCTGGCCTTGAACTCACAGAGATCCACCTGCCTCTGCCTCCGGAGGGATGGGAGTAAAACCACCACGTCTGGCTAAAAGGTCCATATCTTTTTTAGCTGGTGGGAGGAGGAGGGTGGGCAAAGGGAAGAGAAGAAACGGGTAAGTTATTTCCCATGGGTGGTCCCCTCAGGTAATTTAACCCTTTGCTGACCCATGCCTCTCTGCCCAGACTCCTAGCCAGGGGTCAGGAGGAGATGGCATCTGCATTGTTAAATGGTTTGGCTCGCACAGCAGGTATTCGGGAGCCTGAGGATTGCTTAGGACAACTTCCCCACTGCCTCCCTCCTCACTGCAGTCAGAGACTGCCTCACATTAAGTACTGTCCAACCCAGGCGAGAACTCATCCTAATGGAGGATGCAGGGACGGCTGCCTTTGGTGGGGTCAGTTGGTTTCCCCGACATCCCCATTAGCAGCGGAAACCATGTTCTCTTTCCTTAGCCACATTGGTTTGTTGGTTTGCTTCTGTTCATTTCAGCTCAGTGAATACTTCCTGGGTGCCGGACCCTGGGACCATAGACAGCTGTTACTGATCTACAGGCAGAGCCAAAAAAGGCAAAGTCCTGATCCCAGGCTCTCCTGGGGGCCAGTGGGTGATTGGCAGCAGGCATGTCCATCTGATGGATGCTGTGCTTTTCATGGGCCCTGGGCTTCCTTGGAGATGTCCCAGGATCTGTCTTTGTAGCAAGAGAAATAAAGACAAAAGGCAGGAGGGAGAGGGCACAGCCTAGGGATCAGAGCGGAGGTGGATCCGGGGAGAATGATGCCATCTGGCGGTGAGTACGGGCACCTGCGTGGGTCAGGAAGGAGGCTCTATTTAGGTGGGGCTTGGGAGGGAGTGCTTATGGAGACAGCAGCTCTGAGAGCAGCTGTTTCATCTGATCCCAGCTACACAGGCACTGGGTAGAGGACTTGGGGCCCCTCTATCTTCTCTGCATCTGCCCTGTTCCCTCTTCAGCCCTTCATTGTATCCACATCCGTCCAAAGGAGGCATTGTGGGGTGCCCATGTCTTCCTGAAATACAAGGAGGACGATACTCAATAAAAGTTCACAGTGCCAACTTCTCTACATGTGTGGTATTTTGGGGAAGGTGAGGAAGGAGCTGTGATCACGTCATTGGCACCATATTTGGGCAGTGGGGGTACACAGTAGATTTTCAGGTTCCCCCGTGAGATAGGAGGCTGGCTCCTCAGCAGAGTTTATGAAACAAGCAGGAGAACGCCAAGATGGCAGGGTGACTTTTCCACAGTCACAGGCGGGGGTGGGGTGGGGGGAGGGGGCGACTAGGGCCCTGTCGTGTGGTCTAACTGCGCTATGGCAGACAGCGGGGGATCAGGGTCATAGATAAGATCCTGCCCCTGACACTGTGGAGTCTAAGTGGGAAGATGGGAGAAATGGGTGTAGGGTGGGCAGATGCTCAGCTGTGACTTCTAGGGACATCAGGGTGAGGCTTGGTCTCCAATGTCCTTAGGGAGCCTACTGGGTCCTGACAATGCCGGTAGCATTTGGCTCCAGAGAGGCTTACTGCTGTTCCCCAGAACCAGTCAAGCATGTGGAGCCCTCAACAGAGGCACCTCTCTCCAGAAGTTCCTGGGGTTCCCAACGCCATACCCAAAGGAGGAATCCAGGCCAGGCCTAGCCCAGCCCAGCCCCTTTGACTTGAAGAAGGCGTGAGGAGCTTCTATTTCCTAAGAGAAGAAGAGGGCAGGGGGTGGGAACTCGACACCATCACTAAAGGACAAAAAGCAAGAGACTTAGCCATCAGGATGGCCTGAGTCATGGTCATTTCCCAACCTGGTCAGGTGTCCGGGGAGGGTGAGGACCGTCACCTCACTCTGTCCTTAGCAGCCTGGGGACATTGGCTGAACCTGCTTCTAGGCCACAGAGTCCAAAAAATAGTCTCAGAGCCCACGGGCAAGCGTCCACTCCCCAGCCACACCTATTACCTGCCACTTTAGTTCACTTATGCAAAGAAGAGTCTGGACCCCACAGTTAGGTCCAGGTTGCTGTCCTAATCAGCTGGAAGAGAGGGAAATTCAGGGGACCTACCCACGCTGCCAGGCTAACAGTGCAGAAACCACTTAGCCCACGAGACCAGGGCTCGTCAGGACCTGAATCCAGCCTCCGCCACCGACTTCCTCTCTGAACCTCTTCACGCCTAGCCACACAAACAGCAGTAAGGACACTGCTTAGGTGAAACATCACGTGGCTGGTTTGTTGTGCGTGGACAGACACACTCGTGTGTGTGTTCACGCACACTCACACATATGTTCATGTGTGTGAGTGCAGGCACAGTTCGTGTGTGGCCATCGGGGCACAGCCTCGGGTGTCTGTCCTCCCCTTCTGCCTTGACTTGCTCCTGCAAACACCACACCAGCTGGCCGGCAAGTTTGTCCATCTCATTACAGACACGCGCTACCCCACACCTGGGCATTCGAACTCAGGTCCTCATGATTATGAGGCGAGCGTTCACCACTAAGCCGTTTCCTCAGCCCTGAAGTTACTTTAAGACAGTCTCTCAGCATAGCTCAAACTCACCTCAGACTTAGTCTGGGGTCCAGATTGGACTCAAACTCCTCATCCTCCTGTCCCAGTCTCTCAAGTGCTGAGATCACAGGTTTGTTCCACTATGATGCCTAGACAGTCACAGCACTTAGGGAGACTTGGCATTCAACCCCATTACCTTTGTAAGAACTACAGCCTGGCCTGGACTGGCCTTTTTACCCTCTGGAGCTCCCTGTGCAAACATGGACTTAACACATTACCTCATCGTTCTGGGCCTTGGGCCTTGGCAGGCTCTTGATCATCACATTTGACATAGGAAATGAGCCCTCTTACACAGGCTGATTTGGGGTTCAGAAGCTATGAGTACCTAGGGGATGAGTGACTGAGAAAGTATGGAAGTCTCTGACCTGCCATGTGAGATTGATTTTTCTCTAGAAATGCCACCTTCTCTTCTCATCTTTGCTCTCCTGAGCCTTATGCAATGGCCGACCATGAGCAGGTTCTCAGGCTAGGCTGACCTGAGTTCCCAAAGCAGGGTGACCAGCCTGTGGTGGTCCCCTGGCTCAGTCTGGTAGACCTGGCCTCAATCCCACTCCGGGACACCAGGAACCCAAGGCACCTGCAGCTAGGCCAGGGTCATGCTCTCCTGATTGTGATGGGGCTCACTCCTTGCCTTCTCGAGGCTACACGGCTCTCCTCACCACAAGCCTGCTCTCCAGGCCTCTTCCTCCCTTCTCATCTATTCACGCTTGACTGACGCTGAACCAGAACCATCCCCACCGCCCCTCAGCAAGGCACTGTGGCTTTGTTTACCCTCTTTCCTCCCTCTTCCTGAACCCCTCCGCCTCCTAGGACACTCTGCTCCATTGTCCGGCCAGCTGCTCCCTAGTCTGATGTCACCCTCTGGACAGTGGCGCCAGAAAGCCATTCAAGTGCTAGGACAAAAACCTAAGCAGGGACAGGGGACAGTGCTAACACACAGGCTTGTGGCTGTTTCTTTCAGCTATGTGCTCGACTGCCCCATTGTGTAACTTCCGACCGACAGAGCTTACTGTGAGGCCTCAGCGCCTGCTCCTGTGGTCCGCCCGGAGACCGCACGAGGCACAATGACGTTCTGTAGGTGGGAAAAAATAAGGTGAGGATAATGGATAATGAGACATTTACTTAGCCATGCGCTAGAGCACAGGGCTACAGTTTCAGCACTTGGGAGCCGGAGGAGGCAGGAGGAGTTCAAGTTCAAGGCCAGTCCAGGCTTCTTAGCAAAGCTCCACCTCAGAAACAAAGGTAGAACAAAAGGCAAATAAAGCAAGAGGGACTGGGGATATGTCTCAGCACAAATACGACACACACACATACCTACACACACGCACACGTACACACATACACAAATATACTCTAGGGCACTTGCTCCCCCCCAACATGCACACAACAAACAAACAAATGAAATAGTTGGGAAGTGACACCTGACACCGACCTTTGGTCTCCACATGGGCGGGGACTGGCAAAGCACACTTTGGTGCTCACACGGGCACACACGTGCACACATGGAAAAAAAAATTGCAGGATCGCCAAACGGCTAAGCCAAGGGCTGTGTGCTGCTGCTGAGAACTACGCCTGCTTGTGTTACGCTGTTTCTACTAGTGTATAACACACCACGCTTACACACACAGGGATGGGCCGTGAGGAGTCCAGTCTAGAACCCAGACACCTTGGCAGAGTCGGGCTCCAGGCAGTCAGCCGCAGGCGCATCATCCCAGAGCTGTTTACATCCTGGACACGTGACAGACATCCATCACACACACAACAGCAGTCACGGCCTAGATTCCTGAGGTAGACGTCAGCCTTCTGCCTCCTCATCCCTGAGGAGGCAGCTCCTTGGGGGAAGCCCCTGCTGAACCTAAGCTGCCTCAGCCTCTTCAAGTCTGGCCTCCCTCAAAGGAGGGATCCAAATCAGAGAAATGGCCAGGGTCTCCAGGAACACCCAGGCTCTGCACACACACACACACACACACACACACACACACACACACACACACACACACACACACGGAGCTCGTGAGGAGGAGAAAGTCACCGAACACCAGCATTCGCTTCTTTCTGCGTCCTCACTGGGCAGCATGACCTGTCACCCTCCACTTCTGCGGCCATGCCTTCCTGCCTTGAGCAACTGTGTTTCTTCAGATCCTGAGGTGGGCCGAGCCATTTCTTCCTCACGTCGCTATATTTTCTTCTCCTACCTCCCCAAGGAGCCCAGGGCTCCCTTCTCCTCCTCTCTAGGGAATGTGTGAGTAATATGCCGGCAGGACGGTGCCAGGGCTCCTGGGTCCTATTCTTGGCTGTGCCCTCATTCTGGAATGTGCCCTGAGGTCAAGTGACACTGCTCTCTCAGGCTGTGTCAGGAGGCAGAGTGAGCTTGCAGGGGCACCTCCCAAGGAACAGCGTTGGCAGGTAGGTGGGCCTGTTGGCCAGCCTTCTCCCTCCCACATCTTAGGCTCCCAAGCCCCTCAAACCCCTCTCCTTTAAGGTCAGGTTAGAGTCTCTCCATTCCTATCCCAAGTTAACCTAGGATGGGGGACCCAGACATCCAGATGGCTAACAATGATGGCCACCTTCAAGCTCACTCACGTGAAGGGAATAAAGACTCCATCCCAGCATGTACCAGCCCAGACTGGCCCAGAGGTGGGGCCTCTTCCCAGCACATCACTGGCAAGGTACTGGGTACCTCCAGCAGACCTGTGTTTTCTGTTCTTTCTGAGTCTTGAGGAAACTGCCAGCGCTCTGGCAGGAGGAAGTTGTACCCATCTTGATTCTTGGTTTTCTGGTTTATGGGAAGAGACATACGGAGCTCTCTCTAGCAGATGGCAGAGGATGGTGGTTGGTGGCTGACCACGGTCCTTTGT